CGGTAGGAGTCAAGGGGGAGGGGCCCGGATCCCTGGCACAGGGCTGAGTGGGAGGGGGCGGCTAGGACCGAGAGCGGAAGTCTACGCGGCGCACTCCTAAAAACACATCGTGCACGGGGGTGCTGCAGCACTGCCAACCAAGGAGAGTCTCACCATGTCCAATACTCCTCGCCGCCGCCAGGGTCAGGGGAGTGGGGGAGGAGCCCGCGGGGCGGTGTTGAAGCCGCGTCTCGCAACCGGGCGCCAGGGTTCAGCCTCGGCGGAAAGCAGGGGTAGGGGCTATTAAGTGCCCGAATAAAGAGAAGGGCCCCAAGGGGGGGGCAACAAAGTTGATCGCCTGGGCCGCGTCGGTTCCCGTCAAAGGCTCTGGAGTCAGAGAAAGAAGGCGACCGTGCTCGCTTCCTCTGCCTGATTCATCTCGTCACCTTTTCTTTCTTCAAATCCAGTTTCCCCCTCCTTTTCATGTGCACTACTCGGCCCAATTTCTGCGTTTGGCCTCCCTTCCCATGCAGCCACCCCTTTCACAACCAAGACTCAAACTCCTCGGGACCACTCTCCCACGCCTTGCCTCCGAGGCTCCGTCCCGTTCCTTCATTCAGACAATCATGCCTGCCCCCCTTCATCATCTTACACCCTTCATCATCTCCTCCCCGCCGACACTACTCCCGCCCGTCCTCTCCTTGCTATCCCACTCCACCTCATCGGTACAGATGCTCGGCTGCCAAGTTCCGCGCAATCGCCACCTCCCATTTATCCCCGTTGGCCAGAAGCTTCTCCTTGTCGTACAAGAGCTCTTCGTGCGTTTCCGTTGCAAATTCGAAATTAGGACCCTCGACAATGGCATCCACCGGGCAAGCCTCCTGGCAGAAGCCACAGAAGATACACTTGGTCATGTCGATGTCGTACCGGGTGGTCTTCCTGGACCCATCCGCCCGTTGCTCTGCTTCGATAGTGATGGCCTGCGCAGGGCAAATGGCTTCGCACAACTTGCACGCAATGCAGCGTTCCTCTCCGTTCGGATACCGGCGGAGGGCGTGCTCTCCTCGGAAGCGCGGTGAGAGGTGTCCCTTTTCAAAAGGGTAATTGATGGTCACTTTTGGCTTCATCGATACCTCGAAGGACAGCCAAAAGCCACGCATTAACTCGGTCAGGAAGAAAATGTTCGTCGCCCTGTCCAAGACTTCTGAGAAGCTCGTCTTGGGTTCTTGTAATGGGGCGGGAGGAGTAGATTTGTTGCTGCTGCTCAATGCGAGGCTTGCCTGTACCAGGGGAGCCTGTACGGCCGGGCGGATGCTCGACCGAAGACTGGCTGAGGGAGGCAGTCCCCGCTGCAACACACGGGTGAGAAGCTGCGATGCCATGCCTCTGTGGGAAGTGAAACGCAAATTTGTTGACTTGAGCAGAAGAGCACAGGATCACATCGATGCGATTGCGCTTGCACAAACGCAGACAAACCTGGACCTAGAATCTCGCCGTCATATCCAGGCCATCCTTCCTAAAAATACAAAGAATGCTCCTAACAGGTGCAAGGCGAAAGCAGGGATGCGGTAGCAGTGCATTTTACCGCCACCTTGGTCACTGAAAACTCATTTTTCACCGTCAAGCGCTACGCTACATGCTGGCTCATCTCGGTCCACAAGATGGGGCCTAAAGGGGAGACCGTTCCGATCGTCAGAATGGAAAGCCGGAGTTCACGGGCACGCCGTGATGAAAAACAAGGGACTGGCGGCGTTGGTCCAATTTACGGTTGACACATTTCAATATGCGTTATAGCGCAAGATCCATAAGCGTGCTGCTTTGGGTGCCAGCCCCCACTTATCATCACATGGTCGGGCATCACTCCTGTCCACCTGTCTGAGCGAAGATTGCCCACCCCATCGCTCTGAGCGTCCTACGGCCACCCACCGCTTTTCTCCACCTCCTCCTCATACGTTTCCTGTTTGTCAGCCTGCCTCGTTCCCACGTTTAAGAATGTATATCACAGTGATGAAATCGCATTTCGGTCCAGGTTTGTCACGGCACTATCTGGTGAAATGGTGCGGTGCGCCCTCTTTTTCTTCATTCGCTCACTATTTATCACATATTGTCCCCCCCATGCTTTTCCTCTTTTTCTTCTCGCTCTTTGTGTTGTTTCCCCACGCAGAAAGAAGTCTTAGGACGCCCAAAATAATGGCCGAGGACGATCCTATCATGGACGTGGCGGAGGGTGGAGAGGAGGGAGGCGAGGAGGCGGCTGCCCCTGCCGTGGAGGAGGAGTTGGAGTTAAACGAAGAGTCAGCTCTTCGCGGCGTTCTCCGCAAGGCGCTTGTGCACGATGGCCTTCAACGTGGTCTGCATGAGAGTGCCAAGGCTCTCGATCGACACTCTGCTAAACTCTGCGTCCTCGCCCGCGACGTAGACTCGGACGAGTACAAGACGCTGGTCACAGCGCTTTGCAAAGAAGGGAGTGTGCCTCTCCTCTACATCGAAACGCGCGAGAAGCTCGGGGAGTACGTGGGCCTGGCCAAAATGGATAAGGAGGGAAACCTGCGCGGTAAGGTGCAAAAGTGCTCGGTGGCCGTGGTCACGGACTTCGGCGAGGAGTCTCGAGAGTACCACAAGCTGCAGGAATTCATCGCTAAGAGCCAGGAATAAGCAGACTTCAAGGGCGCAATACTTCGTGCGAGCGAGTGAGATGCTTTTTTTTCAACCTTACGCACCACTTTAATGTCTTGGTTTGGCTCTGAGCGCGCGCTAGAACGAGAGGAACCTCCTTTCCTCGGAGGGGTTCCCAACCCTTTTCCCCCTTGCCCATGTCCTCGACCCGTGCGATGAAAATGTGTACGTGGACCATGGCAGTTAAGAAAAGAAGAAAGGGAAAGGGTATACAGAAGTACCTCTCGAGAGTTGCCTTACACTTTCCTTTTCGTGCACTGTTCCTTTCTCTCACCAAGTAATAGTAACAGTATTGAAAAATGACTGACAGATGAAGGCTGGCTCACGCACAAGATCTTCACATGGCTTAAGCCTTTCACACCTCTACATGCGAGTTCGAGATGCAAGGATCTCAGAGAGAGAGTGACAAAAAGATGTGAAACTGACGACTTTTCCCTCTATGTGTACTCCTTCGTTCTTTTTTTATATACATGATAAATAATGCGCATTGTTCTACGTACTGCTCTCCAGTTTTTATTCTCTCCGAAATGTTGTCTTGCGCGTCCTGTGACACGAGAAGGGAAAAAGTAAAAAGTGACATGCCAGATAATGAGATAAAATACAGCCTCGGACGGATCTGATGGCAGAGGAAATACTCGAAGGCGGAGTGCCAAAATAGAGTCCCATATAATAATCATGTTGTAAAGATATATCGCTTTGCCGTCTTAAAGACAACGAAAAAAATGGGAACAAGATTGATTCAAAGAAAGCAGTATGCACACGGTTGTATGCCATGCTTTGTTGGAAGGCTCATAAGCCACATGACCACGGGAGTACCAAAAGCCGACGCATGTGATAAATGTACACGCGTCACATGACACCTTGATCACAACAGGGGTTAGCGCCACAGGGAAGCAGGGACGCACCTGAAAAACATGTAGAGGATAGGACCGAGGACGAATGCGAGCATGAGGCAAGCACCAAGCAAGTACGAGAAGGAGAGGTAGTGGACTGGAATACTGACACCGGAGCTAGAAGTTGCCGGCGCCGCAGGAGCCATTCCCTTCCCACTTCCTGTCTGTGTTGGTGGGAGGGAAGCAGGAGTGAGCATTGCACTTGAGTCGCAGGCAAGAGGTGTGAGGTTGATGAAGTCGGGGCTGGGGCTGGGCGAGAATCGGCGACTCGGGCCCAAGGAGAGGAATCAACTTTCCAGCCCGACCGCAATGACATGGGCAATCCCCACGTGCCGCGCCTTAGGTCGCGACGAGTACGCCTTTACAAGCTACGATTGATTGTATGGGCGTACAGGTAACGGCGTGCTCAACGGAGCGTGTACGACTTGCGCTGTGATACACAGGAAAGCCAACGCACAATCAAACGTACCGGGAGACGTTGCTCTGCTCTCACACATCAAATTCACGGGCTGCATCATGAGATGCGTATCCCGCGCACATCTTTGGGTGTGACGACATGGCATTGGAGTCTTGAGGGCATTACAACCTTGCAAAGTCGACAACCTTCAAGCGCTCAAATTGCAGGGATTCGGAGTGGGTAGTCCTCGAACCCGTTCCTCATCCTGTTACCCGCGTCTTTTCACCTCAGCATGCCCCTCTTGTGCATTCACTCTCATGTAATACAGTGGTAGCAGCAGAGCAACCGGGTGTCATGTCCACATTAAGCCCGCCCATCTCAGCGCTGATTGCGTGGACTGTTATATGTGGAACGGTAATCGTTCTCACGAACATCGCGAAGGTCACAAAATACATCGACAAGGACAATGCAGGGTACGTTGGCAGCAACTTCTGTAAAGTGGGAGCTTCTAAGATGCTCGGATTCCAATTGAAATGCCCATTTCGTACCTGTGAACAGGATTGCCGTGGTATTCACGATTACCGCTGGGATCTGCACTTTTATACTCTGGTAATTTTTTTTTTATGTGAATAAGTTTTTCGCGCGCTGCCTCACAATCAAAATTTCGTTTTTCCCATGAGATCCTTCTGGCTCGTAACTAAATGGCATATTCCTTTCCACCTTCGTGTTCGCGTCTCCAGGTTGGTCACGTGGATGCAGCAATGGCACCCGCTTTTGACGCCTACCCTCCCTGCCAAGTAAGTTTTACTGGGCTGCAACTCAATCATCTCACATGCAGCGTCCGATTTGGGCATGAGGATGGCTTGCATAAGGAGAGGACCTCCCATTCTACTTCGTTTTCGCAATCACGTATTTAAGAGCATTTCTCGCCACTCCTGACCACCGCAACAGGGAATGAAGCTGTGGGTCGCGTACGACTTTTTTTCATTCGTCGGAGGCCGTTAGCTTGTGTATTTATTTGCATTCAAGAGAGCGGGGGTTCAGGAAGATGTGACATCCAAGAAGATGAAAATTTATCACGGGGAAAAGCAAAGAACAAATTTGTTCACGGCATGATGCCGACCACCATGTGCTTTTTTCTTCATGTTCGGCTCGCAAATTGACTTGATTTGTCCAGTTCCACACGGTGATTTCGCGTTGCTTTGACGGCGCGGGGCGCACTGGAAAGCAACCTCTCAACCTCCTGCCCCCTCCCTGGAGGGCCGCACATAGACCAACTAAGGACACCGCCCGCGCTGTTGATCCGATGCCGGTAGCTGCTCAATTATTTCTCGTATCTATACAGTCTAGAAATATAGCAGTTTGTTGTGCAAGGGACGCCTTGCTCGAAGGGTATCATGTTGGTTGGCAAGGTACGTTGACGTAACCTCCTCGGCTCCGTCTCTCTTCAGCGCCGATTTAATTACACCTCCCTACCAAAATGTACACCCATCAGGCGCTTCCTGTCCTCTTCTCCGTCTTCCTGGTCATAACAACACTCATTAATATCGTCGTGGATGCTGCATCGGGCTTCCCTTTCTCTCTGGGTATCCGGGACAGCATCATGATTGCTCATTCATTCAAGGGGGAGCAGTTTGGCCCCGCTCAAAATATTCACGGTGCCACGTACACCGTGGACGTTACCTTCCGTAGTAAAAACCTGGTGCCGAAAAACAATTGGGTAATTGACATCGGGGAGGCGTCCACGGCGCTGAGCCGCATTCTAAGCAAGTACAACTTTAAAAACCTAGACCAGGTCTTCCCCGAGGGGGAGAACACGACGACGGAGTTCATGTGCCGTGCCATCCACCGAGACTTGGCTGCGCATTTTTGCACCAATCGGGCCAAGAGCAAGGAAGAGCGTTTCAAGGGCTCCATTTGTGTCAAGCTTTGGGAGAGTCACAAAGCGTGGGCTTGTTATGAGGCCATTGTCTGAGGAGACGGGACGAAGGATGCTGGGCTTATAAGGGGGGGAAGGAAATTACTACAGCAAAATTAAATCCTAGACTAATCAATTTTCTTTAAGACAAAAGATCTTGGAGCGTCCGTTCTGCCGCTCGTACTCACATGGAAGTATGCACACTGTCAGGCAATCCCACCCTGTCGGTCAGAGCGCTGTGTCCTCCCTTCCTTAACATCTCACATGCAAACCGCGAGTTTCCCGCCACATTTCCGGCAGCGAATGGACATATAGTCCTCGTGCCCGTCCGGCAACTTCAACAAGCCCCCGCAGCCGCCACAAGGGGCCGCGAAGCCGGTCTCCTCGGAGCCCTCTTCGAGAGGAGAGAGGATTAAAAGGGAAGCATCCGCCGCAGTGCCTCGGCCAGGCCTGACCCTGGTCCGGCCGTCCTTGCTCCTGACGGGCTGGTGAGGGGGGGGAGTGAGCGAGGAGGAGGAGGAGGAGGAGGAGGGGGAGGAGGGGGAGGAGGAAGACAGGGAGGAGGACGGGGAGAAGGACGAGGTGGGGTGGGGCGGGAGGATGCTGTCCCGGGGAGGGCGTGTGTGCTGAAAA